ATGTATATATATATATAATATATATACATGTATATATACATAGTAATAGTAAGGAGATTCGGAGTCATTAGATTTGTTTGCGAGGTTATTCAACACTTGAGCCCCCGAGTTGTGGCCATTATTTCTCATGAGGATGGAGATTGGCGGTCCGACCAAGAAGCATTCAAAGCTAGGTTGGTTCGTTTTCGTGGATGAAAGATTGAAAGCCTCCCAAGCCTATCAAAGTACTGTGTCAACCAACAGCACTGTGATTTGCGAAAGCCCTGTGACCATCACCTTTCGCCACGGTTGCTGGGAAGGCGGGCGTCACAGTCTTAGCGGCTGCGGTTCTCGCTCAACGGCCTCGCATGGTGGAGCCCGCCGGTGGGCAAAAGGGTCGCACCAACGACAGGGCTCTTTCCAAATTTTTGGGGCGGAGGGGTGCTGTTGACTTTGGTCGCGGGTCGGTACCATCTGCGGAATCCCAGTGGGGCAAACGGCAAAGCATATTTTCGCCATGTCGGAAGCTTGCGAAGAAAGCTGGTTCAGCCAGTGCCAGCAGAGCGAGTGAAAAGACATGGAATGACTCGCATCGACACACTGCCAGGGCTGACGGCGTTGAAGCTTGTTACTGGAACAAGGAGAAAAGAAGCGGGAAAAGACTACAAAGCGATCCTGAAAGCCAGCCAGCGTTTGAACGAGGGTGGCCATGGCATACCATGGCTTCAAAACGTCCCTGTTCTCTCCTCGATCGTCGTTATCAATAAGCCGCAGATGAGGACCACCTCCAGCCACTGTAGCTGTTTGATGGAAGTTGGTCGAAATGTAAGTAGTAGACTGACAAGCCTGCACGTCGTGTAGACTGTCACATGCTAACACCGGACTTTGAACGGTCGGCTCGACTTAGCTACCACACACCTTCAGCAGGTTGCCGCGTGCACTGCAGGGACATGTGGTCTTCTTCGCAGGCAAATATTCCTTCGACACCATTCGACACCTGCTGCTGTCAGTTTGTCAGCTTCCGAGGTTCCTTCTGACAAAGCAAGTGCCAGTGGAACAGAGGCCCATGACTGGGGATTCTGCTCATTCTATGCCAATGCCGTCTATGGAACAGTCTGTTTGGCATTCCGCGCTCAGCTCATGGCAGGCTTGCCAACCTCTCCACTGTACTGCACTTGGCTGCAGCGAGCCTGCCGGAAAGCATCGAGGTGCTGATGAGGCTTCTGCCGACTCCGACCGACTCCAGCATTTTTTTGAAGCACGGTATTCGCACAGCTCTAGCCAGAGAGTGAATCGACATTCGTTCCACCGCTGCAACTGTTGATTCAGTGTCGCGATCGCGATCCTACAGTGATGTTGTTCTGCACTGTTCGCCATGTCACAGGGCCGGTGCCAATCCACTGGCGGTGGACTTCAAGAATCGATCTGCTCTGCACTTCGCCAGTAGTGCCAATTCAGTACAGGCACAGAGCGCAAGTGTTGTATCTGGCATGTTCTTCCTTCTTTGGGTGTGGTTTTTTACTCAAAGGACTGGCAGGACTGAAAGCTGTTTGTCATGACATACTGCTTCATACTTCAAACCTGCTTCCAATCGCCGGATGAAGCAGAGCATTACACATGAGCCTGCCTCTGTGACACGATAAGTGTCCTGGCTTTTTTCGCGGCGACCAAGTTCTTAGCAACATGCATTTTTACCAATCTTGGACCTGTTGTTCAGGTGCTGCTGCATTTCAACGTGTCTTCCACAAGGACTGGCACATGTGGTCTTCCTGTCAGTATGCCAACGACGACGACAAGTGCTTCCACTCCTCGATGCCATGCACGTGCTGACCGAATTAGCCTTCAGTTCGCAACATGCATGTGCGCCACGCACTATCGCACCATTTTCCAAGACTCTTTCGGCAACTCCGGATAAATTTCTGCTTGGCCAGGCACTGTAGACACTTCAGTACTTGATTCAACCTGCACACAACCCGGCATCCGAGCTGCACGAAATGGCAGGCGATCTCATCCGGGCGAAGAATCCGAATAACAAGCACATCGTTGTCACCGAAGTGCCCTTCGTGAAAATTGATAACTTACTTGGCACGATGTAATCCGCCTAGTCACGCCTAGCCAAGACCTTGAATTTCCTAGCGTGGATCGCAGTTGCTTTATATTTTGGCTGTCGCCTAAGGCTGCGGCGGAAGATTTGCCGATACATCGCATTTTGTTGCAGGTTAGGTGAGACCCTGAAAGCCTGCTCGAGCGTGTAGAAGTTTGATTGAGGTAAGGCAACGAAGATGTCAGGAGCGCAGCATTCGGCCTGACTCCCTTGCACAAGGCAGCTGCAGAGGCTGGTAATCCGTGTAGAGCCTGAGATGCCCCCTCTGCAACGGCCAAGTTTCTGGTGCTAGATGCTAGTCGTTGTTTGACATCAGGTTTTGTTTGCTGCTCGGCACGCTCATGCAGCAGACTCCAGCAACACACAGCGCCAGAAGCCACATGCACTTTGCGGCCCATGGCAGGGCAACACCAACGTACTCGAAGCACTTCTTGCCGCCAGAGCTTCCGAGGCTAGCATGGGGGGGGGCAGTTGATATGGTGCGCTATCGTGGTTCTGAAATTAACTAGGCACTGAAGAACTGTTCCAAGCAAGCTGCTGGAACAGGACCTTGGCTCCAGATCTTCCTGTAATTTGAGTCCTCACCACGTGCTGCAGTGGCCTTTAGAATTCCCCCGTCCGCGCAGCGGCAGTCCATGTCCTATCCTCCAAAAATAATGTCGTCATGCAAGGATGCTTCTGGGCTCAAAGACTGGAAATACAAACTAACACCTAACCCCAGACCCAAAACAGTGCGCAGTATCAGCAAGAAGTCTTCAACATATCATTTACTGTATTAGCAGCAGGTCTTAGACAAAATCGAAGGGCGGAGAGATGGTCCCACTTTCTCCAGTCGGCACGCATCGCTGCTGAGTTTCGCCATGCCTCTTTGAGGTTGTGACTGAGCACTTGTTTGAGTTTTCTCCTGCTCCTCCGGGTGGTTCATAGCTGGCCCACCACCTGTTCTCTCCACCCCTCTGCTCACCCGGCACTTTGGCGGCTCATCTTCTGCACCCTCAGTGTCACCCTGACTTCCCCAGCGGCCGTAGCGTTTGAAAACTGGATGGCCCGTGCATCCCGAACACTGGGTTTGCACTTCTTCCCCAAACTAGTGCCAGGATTTCACGGCCACGCCCCGTCCGCACCGCTCCGCCGCACCCCGTTTGTCACTCTTCCCTTGCCTTCCCCCTCCCCTCCGAGCCGCTCCCTTTCGTATCTCCTCCGTCGCTTCTGCTTTATAGGCAGATGGCTTGACAGTCTTCCCTGGGCGCCGTATGCTCGCCAACGTGGGTGTGCAGACTTGGGTGTGTACTTCTTGCTCTTGATGGGCAGAACCTCTTTCAAAGCTCCAAGTTGTACCACGAAGGCGTTTTGTGTAGACACATGCGGCTTCCAATAAGATTCTGCGCGTTTCGAGCCACTGATCCAGTCGTTCCACGTTCAATGAGCCAAGGTGTGTGTGTGTGTGTATGTGTGTATGTGTGTGTGTGTTTTCGGATTCGCAGGTCAGTAGCATAGAAGGGCACATGTTTCTGAACGTTCTTGGCCAGAGGTGGACGAAGTCGACTTCACTGGAAACGCCGGCGGATGTCTCAGACTTCATACACAGTGAGGAAGATTGGCAAGTCTGCAGTTCATCGGATATCCGACCGGACAGCTGGACGTATATTGAATCCTCGGTCATGTCCAGGTGAGCTAGACCTCAGGAGCAATGTCTATAATAAGTTTTCCGCGTTTTATTCAGGACTTGGCACTTTGGCGTTCTCCAGTGTTCTTTACGCTGCCTGTTCTTTGCCCGGCGGACTTGTTTGGCATGTTTTTCCAAAAAGCCCACCTAAACCAATTAAGGCCACCTAGACCCACAAGCCCCTCCGAAACCCCACAAAGCCGAACACAACCTTCATCCGAGACAGATTCCAGATGAAGAAAGCTTGGAGTTCATCAGCAAGCACATTGGCTCTTGCCCCCTCCACATTGTCCAGCTGCTAGGACTCCACTTTGCGGTGTCCAGCGGGGCTGCCTCGACCGTCGCTGCATTGCCCGGGCTCATGGCATTTGCTTCGGCTTTGTATGGGTCGGTTTGGTCCAACACCCTAAATATCGAGTCTTGCAGCCAACAGCAACAGCATTCCACTTTGCAGCCACGACCACGAAGGTGTCACTGTATGGCATTCCATACAGATGGGCCCTGTACTTGTTGGCTGCACCATCAACGCTGGATGCGTTGCCAATTCTTCCTGAATTCCACGAGTTCTTTCTAGACTACCGCACGGGCCAACCTGGCTCCATCTCGACAGGCAATTTCAGGATCGGTGCTCACATCGTTTGCTGTGTTCGCTTTGGCTCTCATGTCTCTCCTGGCCACATCCACATCTAGACATGTAGGCTACACTACACTTACATCCATGCCCGAGAAGGCGCACTGACATGTTTCACATGCCACCAACGAACTGGGAAGCCGCTCCCATGCCTGAACAGAGAGTTGCCTCTGAGATGCCTCTCGTTGCCGCTCTCACCACTCGCTAGGAACTGCGGCCTCAGCCTGTCGGGTTTGTCCGGCGGGAGGGTTTTAGCCACGGGTGGCAAGATTTTCCACACGAGAAATCAAGATCCCCTGCATCCAGCAGAACACGTACAGCCAAGCCCAACGCAAAGTGACGGGAGGTAAGAACCACATGACACCGACACCACACTCCGAAAAAACAGATCTTCTGATTGATTTGGAGCGGTTCGGTGAGTAGTTTGAGGGTGGTTTTTCGTGTGGTCGTAGCATCTGCTTTGAGCGGGCCTAAAGCATCCCAAAGTCCTTGACGTGACATGGTGTACCGGTACCGTTTGCGCACTTATCCCAAGCATGGGGAGACTGCCATGCGAGGCTCCGGTGGTGCGCACGGACGAGTCAGGCCACCAGCAAGCATTTTCACGTTTGCAGGGACGCCTTCTCGCAAGAGCAGGAAACCTTTAAAGATACCATTCGACGACCGAATCAAACAAACAAATCCAAAACCCTGGGGGGGGGCCTGCAACTTTTCATTGTCACTGCAAAACCCAAAAATCCCTGTGAATTTCTTGGATTTCTTCCAACAAACCATCTTCCAACACACCAAAAACTTGATACGTTTTTGTATTTCTGATGGAAACACAACGGGATTTTTGGTGTTTCGCGTGAAAAGTTTAAAAAAAATCCATGGTTTCGTTGATGCGAAACGAAAAAAACAAAACAAAGCTTTGGGATTTGTTTTGTGCTTTGGTGTTTTCATTTCGATTCCTGTTCAACACTATTTCACATAGGGGGTCCTACTGCATGGATGAAACTCCAGGGGTCAACGCGAAAACTTTATTTTTATCCCGCTTCGTTTGCTTCATTTCACGGGGTTAGGGCTTCGAGTTTTATCCGAGCTATGGCTTCGTGGTGATGGGCTGTTTTTTTTTTCCAGTTCTAAGGCCGTGTTGGGGGAGACAGTGGCAAGACTTCTCGCTGGGGTGAAAAAATTCTCGGAGGTCTCTCACCGTCGGCGGGGTTGAGCCCTAGAGTTTTTATCCAACCTATCCCCGCCTACATGTCTATCATGTTTTGCTATCATGTCTCTGCTCGCGAATCTTGGAAAAATGGGGTCAAGCCTAGTGTTTTATCTCCCCGCCACAGAGATCTATCCGGATAAATCTGTGCACTGACCCTTTGTTGCAGTAGGGCCCCCTATGTTTCGCGGAACGTGGGGAACATGGAACGACAAAGACTGCCAGGGCACTGCAGGCTGCAATAGACACAGGAAGCTAAGCCAGCAGAGGCTGCACACATTTGTCTAGGAAGACGAATGTCTTATTCAGGAAGATGTTCCGAAGAATATTGGTGCTCGGCATTTTTAAACGTGTAACATATTTTCTGGTTATGAAAACCTGGCCACATGCAGAAGAGGCTTTGGGGCAGACGAGTACTTCATATTAATTGCTTGGGCCGAAATTGCGGCTTTGTAATTCTAGCGGCGAGAAGTTTGCGGCCGAGGATTATGTCATCATAGACATGTTGAGAATACGTGACCAAGTACCAGGAGGCTGCTTATGCTTGCTGGAGAGACAGCTTTTCGCTCCAGATGATAAAGCCAGCGTTGAACATTCCCTCGCTTCTTCGTGGAGCGAGCCCTGTGAAACTGGTGCGAATATTCTGTCCCTGGTCAGTTTGCAAAGTTCAATACGATGTTATTATACACACATGGATTTAGGATTGACCTGAAAAGCTTCCTTCGGTAGGTCTTAGGCGGGGGGGGGTGAGCATATAAATATAAACAAATGAACAAACAAATAAAAAACTATATATACACGTACACGCACTACTTATTAAGTCCATAAATACATATACGTTTACATATATAATCATATATACATATATACATACACACACACACACATATATATATATGAATAAATATGTCAACAATGACATAGGTCATAGCTGAATTCACCAGTATACAACTGAAACCCGGCCCAGTGATTCATTCGCTCAGCAATGCAGGAGGCAAAATTAGGTACACAACTACGTAAATAATTGTGTACGTATGTATGTATGTATGTATGTATGTATGTATGTGCGTGTGTGTTTATGTATGTATGTATGTATAAATATATAAATATATATATATATATATATATATATATAACTATAAATATAAATATAAATCAAAATATGAATATATAAATACATAAATATATAAATATAATT